CATGAATAACGTTTTTTAACCGTGTATAAGTCATTAATTTATGATGCATGAGCTTCTTATGACTTCTACGACATGCGCATACCCAAAACAATGGCTAAATATAAGCAAACCCCCGTTACACATGGAAGATTATCGGATAACCCCCCATAACTTTGAAATATCAGAAAAATCCCCTTAAGTTCAGGGGTTATCAGATGACCCCATTTAACTTTGAGATTTTATCTAAAAACCGCCATTATGTAGGGGGTTTTTTGATAAAATCTCAAACTTAAAGGGGGATTCTGGTAAAAGCATAAGACTAAAAGGAAGTTTTTTCGACAATCTTTGTATCTAAGGGGAGGTTTTCTAATATTTTCAAAGTTATGGGGAGTCATCCAATAAGTTAAGGATGTTTTCTAATATTAAGCCCATAAACGATTATATATACTCACTACTCACTAGGTACGTGCAGAAAATATTTTTTTACCATGGTTAGGACTTAGGAGTCTACTTACGTTAAAAAAAGAAGAAGTTAAAATCTGATTCCTTTTTAGGGCTTTACCGTATGAGATTGTAATCCGCTTAGTATATAGTTCGGACCGTTCATTCATGTAGTGACGTGTCACCAAATAAAAACTATCTTAACGGGTTTAAGTAGTCCGTGCAAAATTTACATAATGATTTGGCTATTTACTATAAGAAAATGGAAATTCCGATGACAAAACTAATTATACTTCAAAGATACACGGTTTTATAGTTCACATACATTCTAGATACGTACATCAAGACTAATGGTATTAGTATTTATTACATGCACCTTATTCCTTCGGCCGGACCGCAGAAGGGATCCAAAAGTATCCGACCCGTAACAACTGCAAGAAGGGTATTTACAGCAAATCGCCGTGAACTTTCAGCATTTTGCAATAAACCCCTACTAACTTTCAAAATAGCACTGAACACCCATTTAGTTTTTGATTCCCCCCAATAACTTTTTTGCATTTTGTAGGTAACCCCCATGAATTAGAACTAGAAAACAATATATATAAAAGGGTATTTTGAAAGTTATTGAGGTGTTTAGTGTAATTTACCCAAAAGATATTGGAGGTTTCTACAAAAGTTATTGGGGGTTTAGTATGAATTTAAAAGTTCATAGCGGTTTATTGTAAAATGTTGAAAGTTCATAAGGGTTTAGTGTAATTCAGCCTTATAAAAATGCGCCCCTTTTTCATTAACAAAATGCAGCTAGCTTTTTTGTTGTTGATAATTCGGCCCGGAATCGAACTCACGGTCGTGGGAGCCATACTGAGACCTCCCAACCATCGGATGAATCCACAATAAGATTTTATACTCCTCTTTTAACAGTGTTCAAAGTCAGAGAGGTAAAATGACAATTATACAGATTTTGGGGCGTGGGGTGGGCTAAGGCCTAAGGGTCAATTCAAACAGCAAATAGGATAGATTTGCGATGGCATACATAGTCAAAAAAGTTCATTTTCTTTTTAGGGCTTGTTTGGATTGAGGGGAATGAGGGTGAAGGGAAGTTAGGGGAACCATTCACCTCCATTCATCTTGTTTGGGAACACTTAGGAGGTGAAGTTAATTCACCCTAGTTCCCCTTGGTTCACCCCCTAATAGTATAAAATTTGTTACCCCCCAAATTGGGGTGTAACCAAGGGGAAGGGAACTCCCTTCCCTTCCCTTCTCTTCCCTTCCCTTCTCTTCCCTTCACCCCCTACAAATCCAAACAGGCCCTTAAGGAAAAGATGAGCATTATTTTCATTTCACCATCTGTCAGTGTGAAATTTAAGACTTTTAAATGTTAAGGAGTATTTTAATTCAATGCCAAAGAAAGTAGGCTAATTACTCTTTAAATACCTTATATAGTTGTAAGTTTCCCCAACATTGCAGTTATATGCCCTCACATGTTGTTAGTATCACTTATATAACCTCAAGTTCCCAAAAGTTGCATTGTAAACCATGCGTTACGTTAACATGAGAGTTTCGCTACGAGATTTTTCATTTGACACCTACAAGCTAATTTGATAACTCTTTAGTCCTTGATGTTTGTTTAATGCACCGTTAAACATGTTCTTAGTCAACTTTAAGCCCATCTCAATTATGCTTAAATAAAATTTATGGTAGATGTAACAGTAAATTCTCAAACGTAAATTCTCAAATATTAAGGGATATACAACTGTTGATGACAATTATCAAACAGGGGGTTTATTTATAGATTAAAGTAGGTCCTCAAACTCCTTCAGATGACTAACTCTTCTTGATGCTAATTACCAAACATGGAGTTTATTTGTGGATTAAAGTAGAGTTTGGGTCCCCGGACTCCTTCAGATGACTGGCTCTGTAGATCCTGTTCTTTCTTGCACACGAATAACACGTGAGAGGCCGGACTTGGATTCTCCTGTTGTTCGTATGACGATCAAGTTAGTGTATGAACTTGAGTGGGAAAATATAAGAGAAAATAGTGAGAGGAATAGCTTAGAGTTGCGTAAAAGCAGAAGAAGTTACCTCATGCAGTGCAGCTTCCTTTTATAGTAGATCGGAAGGGCTTAAAGGTAACTATGGTCGAGTCCAGGCAGGCAGCTGACTCAGCAGGTGCCTTATAGGTGTTGGCCGCTGAAGAGAGTGAGTCATCAAATGTCTAATGTGAGGACGACAGTAGGTGCTTTGTGCTGACTGGGTCCGATGAGTCATGAAGACTATGAGATCTAGAGCAATGATAACTCTCACAGTAGGGGTGGTAAACGATCGAAACGAATCGAATGCTAAGGTGTTCGTATTTGTCTTTGTTTAAAATTATCAAATTCAAATGCTGACTCTAATATTCATATATGGAGTTTTTCTAACTCGAACTCGAATACTTGGTATTTGATAAATATTCATGAATACTTATCAAATATCAAAGTATATTTATTTCGCTAAAAATTTAATTTTTAAATAGTATTTAAATTCATTAATAAAAAATATTCCTTTATGATATATGATGTATATATATTTAAATCAAAATTTTCATTAGAAAACAAATTTAAGATTATTTAAGTCTTAAAATTAGTACATAAAACTTAAGTAGAAATGGTAGAGTTAAAATATGACATCGTATGTGCAATAATACAAATAATAAGTGATCAAATTTTAAACGAATATTTGAAGACAAACAAATCGAATATACATTTGGTTAAATTCTACTCGTTAGTAAACTCGAATACTAAAAAATATTTATTTAGTAGTAAAAAACTACCGAATCAAATATGACCGAATAGTTAGTCAAACGTTATCAAACTATTTGTTAATTATTTGGTTCATTTTCACCTGACAACGTATTTAAGGTGAGGGTAATTGGTTGTCGGCGAGAGGTTCAAGGACACACTAACTTAGCCTAGAGAGAGGGGACACCTCCTGACGAGAAAGGACGACTCAGCCTGACGAGAAGGAACAACTCGGCTTGGCGAGAAGAGACACATCCTGGTGAAAAGGGACGACTCGGCCTGACGAGAAGGGACACCTTCTGGCGAGAAAGGACGACTCTTTGTGAGAAGGGATGAGTCGGCCAAGCTAGAAGAGACGCATGTCTCGACCTAGCAAGAAAAGACGTATTTCTAAGCCTGGCGAGAAGGGATGCCTTGCTCGGCCTGTCGGGTCGGCTTGGGGTGCAGTCTAGTTGAGACATGTGTCGGCCTATTGAATATTGATCAACACTTATTTCTATGGCATAACAAAAAATTCTAAAGTTAGCTTGCGACTGTCAGATGGAAATTTTTAAGAGAAAACACATTTTGCCTATAATCTATTTACCCTTTAAAAGAGGGAGTTCATGAAAAACTTTACCCTCCCCAAAATAGCCTTCCACCAAATTACCCTTTAAAAGAGGGAGTTCATGAAAAACTTTACCCTCCCCAAAATAGCCTTCCACCAAATTTAATTACCAAACATATCCAAACTTTACCCTCCCCAAAATAGCCTTCCACCAAATTTAATTACCAAACATATCCTGAATTCATAAACCACTTTACCCTTTCATCAGTTACGCTCCTCCTTTCAATTCATCGATTACGTACCCTCCTCCGATCTTCCGTTACCTCCACCAACTTTTAAAGATGAATTCAATTCACCACTTCATTCGTTACCCTTCTTCTCAGCCCAATCTTCTCAGTTCTTCAGTTACGCAGTCCCACGATCTTAAGCCATCAATTTCCAAAGATGATTGTTATTACCCTAATCATCAACTCAACTCCTCTCAAGCCTCGTCTCCTCCTTCTCATTCTGTAATTTCTTTAAGCAATGGAGAAAGTCACTGATTCCGCAAAGCCCTAATCCGATCATGCTACGATTTAGAATAGGTGAGTCTTCAAATCCTAGCTTGCATCTATATTCTATCTAATTTATCTGACTTTGATATAATTTTATGATGATTCAAATCATAATGTGTATATTTATTCTAAAACTAAAGACAAGAGAGAATATGTTGTGGTCAATAGTGCAAGTTGCTCAAGATAATTACGAGGTACTATTATTTGAATCCCTATATTTGATCTTTTAGAAGCTAATATTATGATCTGATATGATTTCAACTATATTTTGGGGATACTTATGATGTGAGTGCTTCAATTTTATTCATTTCTTCAATTGATTCATCCAATGAATATATATATATAAAAACATATTAAAAGCGTGGGTAATTTTTTTTTCTTGAAAATTGCTAATATTTGTTAGGAAAAAGCAGATGACTCTATATAAATATCCTTTTATTGCTAATAAAGATCACATAACCTTGAAGATTATGCACAACTAGAAACTCATATGTAAGCCCAAATGTTGGATTACAATCATTTACATACAAGTAATGATATTACAATCCTATACATTCTAAAATTAATTAAAGAAATCATTTTTGATAATGTTGTTAGTTAGTACTTGTTAAAAAGTAAACCTTGAGATGGATACCGGTGAGGTCAATTAATCAGCAGTCATTTAAGTCTTAACCCATCCTTTATACTCTCTATTTTCAGCCTGAAGCAACAGATAGATCGAGGTTAGCAGAAATTAGCTCCCAATCTTGGGATCAGCTTTTTTTTTTTTTTGATTTTGGGGTGTTTATGAGGAATGCTCCAGAAATTATTGATTATTAGTTCTTTTTTTTTGGTAATTGAAAATATTTCACTTACCATGAGCGATATTTGCAGACCGCTACCCAGACATTCCGACAAGCACGAAATCAGCAAAACAGCCCCTACCACACCCTGGTGTGGTGCAGACCACACCGGTGGCGCGGTAATTAGTTATTTTTCAGATTTTTGGGGACATATAAATAGATGTTTTGACTTAGGGTTTTGGAGATTTTTTGTTTTCTTCTTTTAGCCATCAACTAGCAACTATTCTAGGGTTCAAGTATTGAAGGAAGACATTAAAATGCTCCAGAAATTATTGATTATTAATTCTTTCTTTTTTTTGGTAATTGAAAATATTTCACTTACCATGAGCGATATTTGCAGACCGCTACCCAGACATTCCTGGGGGTGTATACAAGAATGGACTACAGAAAAATGTCAAAGCACTTTAAGAACTTGTCTACTTAAATCAAATATGTACATCAAAGTATGGTAAGGCATATGTGAATGAAATGCTCTACAAAGGATCTCTCTCATAATATATCGTTAATAATCCTCTCAAAAGGCATCTCCTTTCTTGCAAATGTCCACCGATTCCTCTCCATCTATGCATGATATACACATGCAGCTAAGAAAGCAAAGAAAATTTTCTTACAAATTGATTTGCCTTTCAACTCGGTACTTGCCTAAACAACCAAATCACTTCGTCTTGCCAGTCATGTATTAACATCACTCCAAGCCATGATTCCCAGCGACGTCCTCTTTGAAAAATCACATATGAAGAGCAGATGATCCAATTCTTTAGGGCCCTGTTGACAAAAATTACAAATATGTGGACAATCAATGTCCAGCCTTAATACTCTCTTGTGTTAATAACCTGGCTCTCATCACAAGCCACCTTTGGCACATTTAAAGAGGTCCAAACAAGAGGGGACCAAAAGCAGTCTCTGGCATCAGTGCATGATATATCAAGGAGATACTAATTAAGTATGCTACCAACACAATATGTTGCCATTTTTCGCACACTTGCAGCAATCCCACTGAACTGCAATATAAACCAATCTCTCACCTTCAACACCCTTTTCCTTTGCCAAGAATCAGCTGCTTTGCAACAGACCTCCCTTATGATACAGTGCTTAAGATTAGGTTCATGTAACCATTTAATCCACAAAGTCTTCTTATTTAGGTGAATCTCCCAAATAACTTTAGCAATTGAAGTTATACTCCACCCTTCTGCCCCATATAACCCCAAGCCACCACATCTTTTAAATTTACGAGCATCCTTCAACGCTATACAGGTCATTTTATGCTTCTCATCTTTTACTCCCAAATAAACTTCCTACAGGCAACGTCAATACCTATGAGAATACCGTTGTTATGAGAGCTAGTATATTAGCAAAACAACAACGGGCTAATGTATGCTAGAAGCCTGTTGTTGTTGTTGCGGCCATGTTGACGGTAATGAGTCCTAAGTATAATGTAGTCATGAATCATATCCGGATAAATCTTCCTAATGTGAGGAGATTACATGAAACCGGTTAAATTTTAGTTGGCATTTGTTTAACCTTAAAAGTAGAAACTAAAATTTTCATTATACATGAAACCGGTTAAATTTTAGTTGGCATTTGTTTAACCTTAAAAGTAGAAACTAAAATTTTCATTATATTGCATTTTTATAGTAGTTTGAATGATTTTATCTATTTCAGCATATTGTTGAAATAATAGCTTGTATTTTGCATTATATTATTTAAAATATTTTCTAAATCAACCTGCATATACCATCTATCATATTAGCTATTTATTTGAGACTACTTGATAGTATATTGGAGTATCTCAAAGCTCATTTTTTAAGTTATTGTGGATAGACCACCTGTTGCCAAATTTAACTTACTAACCCTATGGTTTTGTTGTTGCAGATAAACCGCCTGAAATAGTTCTATGCTGCAGATAGACTCAATGAAAGGAAATATATTGTTGTAGATAGACTCCTTGAAGCGGGTAAAAGATTCACTTAGGGGGTTTATCTGCTACCATAGAATTATATAGGTAGTAATTCTATTTGGCAATAGTGTAGAGGGTCTATCTGCTACTAACCCTATTTATTTTCAAATTAGCTATCCTTTAGCTTGAGGTGCTGAAACTTTGCACGCTATATTTTGTATAATCCTTCAGTTGTTTCCTAGCCTTAAAAAGATAGTATTACTCTCAATGATGACATTGTTGTTCAAGCAGAGCTGTCACCCTTATACATTGATCTCCAAGGCATGGTGAACGGTGCAATAGAGACATGCAGAGGTGAGCGTAGTTTTGCGATATCAAAGAGACTAAAAGTTGGTCCAAAATTAACAAATTGAGCGGTTATCCGACGCTTGTTAGCAGGATTCGTTTCTGCTAACTTGTGCTCCCGCTGAGATTGAGATGGCGAAAACTAGAAAAAATCATGGGAAAAAATTGCTAAAGTTTGGATTTAGTGCTTCAAATCTGAATTCATCTTCTTCGATTGATCAAGAAACATGATCGATTGAGGAAGATGATGATTTCTTGAATATAATGGGATCTACGGGGCCAAAGGGAGAAAAGAAAAAGAGGATTATGGATGAAATTCTGAATGATCCAAACTCAAGATCTTGTCGGAATCTTCCTCTGGAGATTGGAGTTCGTCAGATCAGTAAATTCTCCCAAGCTAAAATTGATTCTGCTCCTCTGGAGATTGGAGTTTGTCAGCTCAGTGAATCCTCTCTAGCTGGTGTTGTTCAAAATTGATTCTGCTCCTCTGGAGATTGGAGTTTGTCAGCTCAGTGAATCCTCTCTAGCTGGTGTTGTTCGCTCTAATTCTGCTCCTCAGGTGACTGGGAGTTTGTCAGCTCAGTGAATCCTCTCTAGCTGGTGTTGTTCGCTCTAATTCTGCTCCTCAGGTGACTGAAGGTTGTCAGCTTAGTGAATCTGCCCTAGCTGGTGATGCTGCTTCCGTTGTTAAGGTGATCAAAGGCGAATCATCTCAGTCAGGAGTTCAGAAGATCATCTGTGATACTCCAGGCTCTCTTTCAGTTGCTGGTAAATCTGGTAAGGTTTCTTGGGCCGATGAGGTTGATTTTGTTGTTGATTCATCTCATCAACTACAAAATTTGAATTCGGCTGGATCATATACGACAATTCAAGCCTTCATTAATGTTCATTGGTCAAAAATCTTTAAGCAAAACGTTTTGACTGATTGAAGTAGAATAAACTCTGGTCTTGGTCTGGATCATATACGAGAATTCAAGCCTTCATTAATGTTCATTGGTCAAAAATCTTTAAGCAAAACGTTTTGACTGATTGAAGTAGAATAAACTCTGGTCTTGGTCTGGATCATATACGAGAATTCAAGCCTTCATTAATGTTCATTGGTCAAAAATCTTTAGGATTGCCCAGTGGCTCAAGTCAAGCCTTCATTAATGTTCATTGGTCAAAAATCTTTAGGATTGCCCAGTGGCTCAAGTCAGCATCACTTCCAAAAAAAATTCCAAGAATCTGAAAACTGAAAGAAAAGGACATTAAAGAAATGAATCTCTTAAGTTCCAAGTAAAACGTTTTGACTGTAAGTATTGTGTGGGCCCAAATCATGTACTTGAGCTTTAGCCATATCTATTTACCCTTTAAAAGAGGGAGTTCATGAAAAACTTTACCCTCCCCAAAATAGCCTTCCACCAAATTTAATTACCAAACATATCCTGAATTCATAAACCGCTTTAAGAAACACACACAATACGTCTTCATCTATTGAGTAAAGCGGGTTGGGCGTTAAAGGTCATGCTCACAATAACCGACTCATGAGAGTTTCTAGGGGTTAGCCCAGCCACCCCCCCAACGCGGCCATCACGGTTCCTCTCACATAGGTAAGTCCTATAAGGGTACTACAGCTGGATATCGTATCTGTTACCCTTCTTCTCAGCCCATCTTCTCAGTTCTTCAGTTACGCAGTCCCATGATCTAAATCCATCAATTTCCAAAGATGATTGTTATTGCCCTAATCATCAACACTGCGCCTCCGCCATCATCTCCTCAGTTGTCAAAATTTTGGCATCGGTTAGAATGCTTTTACTTTTTTCTCTTCATTCCTCTCATTTTGTTCTAATTTTAAAGAAAATTTTCATTTAATTTTGTTCTAATTAGCCATCACCTCATTTTGTTCTAATTCAACAATAGGTCAAGGATTGTCCGAATTAAGGCTTGCTTCAAGTCTTCATCTTTCTCCTGTGTCAGTTTCATCAGGTAAAAATTCAATTGTTATATTTTGTGAAATTATGGTTTCTGTCCTTTTAGTTAATTTTGATGAATTAGTTTTTTTTAGCTGAATTGAGGAAATTAGGGGTGTAGGACTTTGTTAGATAGTATTTGCAGACACAAGTGCAGAAAGTTGAGTGAGTTAGGGAGGGCTAGATTTTTTCCTAACTGTATCAGTTTTGTTCTCACATCTAAATTCCACGACATAATTTACATGTACAAGCATATTGCGTGTGTGGGTGTATTTCTGTTTGCGTATTCATGTTCTTTTGCTTGTGCAATAAGGAGATAATGTTGATAGACTGAACAAAAACACACAATTTTGTAATATAAGACATAAGCCTGCATAAGCCTGATAATTGTATCGGTGCAGCCTCATAATCAGGTATGCAGGCGCATAACCTACATAAGCCTGATTGTGCAAGCAATATGGGACATCATCTATTTTCTTTCCATTAGTTTCCCCTCATTTTTTTCATTCTTGACTGATTTGACATTGAGCCCTGCCTTACGTTGGACCTGCTTTCTGTGACTAGGATGATTTAACATTGATTCAGTGCATTGTCTTCCCTACATGCAATAGTACAAATGAAACTCCACTTTTACTGGCATTATTTTGTATTTTGTATGAATTTTTGTGTTTAAATAACGGAGAGTAATCCTGTGAAGTATTTTGCAGTTTATTATCGACAACAAAGTGCTTCCTTGCCTTCTTCAACTACTCACGCATAATTACAAAAAGAGCATTAAAAAAGAAGCTTGCCGGACGCTCTCAAATATTACTGCTGGAACTAGAACTCAGATCCAGGTAATACATTCTCTCCCAGTCCTTTCTCTTAATGGTCCCATGCTGAGATTCTTGTTGGAAGCCTGTAATTATACAGATTACACAATCTCTTTTCTTCATTAATTGACATTTCCCATAATGCATTATTCTCTCAAGGATAAAGTGACACAGAATCGATGGAGACGGTTGTTGTTATGTTATTCCAGAGAAGGATTGCAATTTAAAATTTTAGGATATGCGATGTATATGTTGTTTGCTATAAACCAGCGTTGTGTTTACTATATATATTGCTAACATATGTGTTATATAAAGGTATCTATATTAATACAAACTAAAATGGATCATTATGTATACAATGGTTAGGCTCGATTACTGGATCATAGCATTGACGAGCACAATCCTTCTTGGATTCCAGGTTCCTTAAGTTTATAATTTGTACATTTAAACTTAAAATTTGTGCAATTATATTTACTCACTAAACTGTAGACACGAACATTTATACCACGAAGCAGTATCACCTCGGACACACATTAAACATGATACTTCTACTTTGTTTTTATTTTTCTATCTTATTTTTTGAATTTGGTTGATTTGATGTGCTTATGTGTATTATCTTCGTGCATCCATGTGTTTAATGCCCATACTCCTGCAACATAGGATACTAACATAAGGCTTTGCTGCATTCAAAGGCTGTCATTCAACTAACAAGAAACTGATTTGTAGCAAATTGAGGCATGGAAAGAAGGAAACTGCAACTTTGAGGTTCATTAGCCAGAGGAGACAAATCAGCAACATTTGGCTTAATGATTTAAAATATAGATTATTCTAACTCCATGGGTATGTAAAGGCAAAATAGAAAAAAATACCGCAGTAAACAAATCAAATTTCATAATATAGTTCTGATTCGCAACCCAAATTGCGCCAGGTATAGGATGGTACATCTTTAAGCTTATGTCATCCAATGGCAGTATGATAGATATATTACACATTGCTCTATACCTGATAGCCTCTTTTTGGGCTAAGGAAACGATTATTAGTAGGTAGACTTGAAATACCCACAATTTGTCTGCAAGAAGTTCTTCACAGTTTGTTTTCTAGATTTTGCATATACTTACAGGCAGCTATAATCTTGCTATAATATATGTACTGGTCAGTGCACATAATATACTATGTACTGTACACCCTTCAAAATATGAGTTTTAAGTTGTGATTTCATAGAAATCCCATGATAACAAAGTGGTGAGTTCTTAAGCAAATTGAATTATCTGAAGGGATTTCAAAATATGAGCTTTAAGTTTCCAGAGAGAGGTAGTCAGATTATATATTTATATTAAAGAAAATAGAATACGGTTACATAACCTTTCAATGTGTGACTAAACAAATAGAATACAACTACATGTTTTAGGAGGCCTTAAGTTGTTCAAAGTCATGCCATCCAAGGATCTCCAGTTGTTCGTGAGCTTTTATTTATTTATTTCATTGCAATATCATATTCTATTGGACAGTCTAACCCTGAAGCAGAAAGTGTAACTAACATTTGTTGAATTTGACTTCTGCAAGGTCATGGTTGCTTCATTAACAGTCACTAATACAAACATGAACCATCTATATTTTGAAGCCTTTAAATTAGAGGATTCAGATTTTTGTGGTACAATACTACAGAAGAATAGGAATTTGAAGCAAACAGGCACATGAATTTCAAATAAATGAATCATTTTCTTTAATAAAAGTATCTAAATACATTCCTTTACACTGGACAAGGAAATAGAAAATAAAACGTAAATACTAGAGAAATAAAGAAATAATATGAAGTGCATACTCATATACAAAAAACAAACAGCAGATCCTTTTTCCCCAAATACTAGAGAAGATATGTTTGCTTTGTTTCCTGATAGAATCCCATTAGACTCAAATACTCCCAAATCTTCTTAATTTTCTTTACTTGTTTTAATGCACACATTATACTGTTCCTAAAGTTTTATTTGTGGATGTTAATAAATTGATGAGTGAAAAATTAATTGACCTTCAAATATTTAAACTCTTGTAGTTTTTCAATATGCATCACGTGCAGAAGTGACTTGCCCTCGATGAAACCCCTGATGCCTCTAAGGACTCAGGTAACTTATGTTGTCATAAACTTCTTTTAACATAACAAGTCACGGAAAGAGAAGAGGGGGGAAAATTATATTACTAATGGTTCATTTATTTATCTTTTCATTTCTTTGTTCCACTTTGTTGAAATTATTAATTTTTAGTAATATCATTAGTGCTTAATTCTCTTATATCTTGCAGCATTGGACAAAATTCCTCTTATTCATTCTATGTCTATAAAGGATCAGAAGATTCTGATAAACTGTGGCAGAGGCCAGTTCGAATCTTCAACACCTAGCATGTATGTTGATTTCACTATGCTCTAGAGATCAATACTAGAACCATTCATTTTAGTTAATTCAAGTTGTTGCTTCTCTTGTAGGTTTTTCCTCAATGTATCTTCATTTAAAATGAGGTGCTCCTGGCCGGACAAGAGGACTAATTATCTCTGCAATCAACTCATCGACAAATAATATTAATGGGTTCAAACAACTTCAACAATCCATACATCAAGCAATTGGAGAAAGATGTCTGCATTATCACTGACATGTTATTGATTTTGTACTACGACATAAGAGATGAAACAGAGTAGTGTTTGAACACCAAGAGAGCTAGCATGTTAAGTTGTAGTTGAGACATGGTTATGGTTCATTCGTTGCTATTAGATAAATCATTATGTTCTGTGATCTAAGTGAAATGAGATTGCAAAAAATTGTTTCATGGGTGGTGATGCCTACATTTATAGTATCATTGCTTTTAGCCTGTGATAAGTCAGCTTTAATGGATCTATGTGACATCTGAATTTCATTATAAAAAGAAACTTATTGGAGCGCAATATGAGAGAACTCTACATGAAATATAAATTAAAGCTGATCCATATTTGTCAAGATAATCCTAATTCTTTTTAGTTATAGTATCATGGTTTTCCTCCTTTGGTTTCATTTGCAATTGATTTTATCAATGATAGAACTGTTGTTATCAAACAATTAATAAATAAATATAATTTTACTATTCAATCCTTTTGAATTTTTAAATTCTATCCATATGTTTGATACATGGTTTAAATTAAATAAATCTTAACGAAATGAATCAATAATAAAATAATAAATTAAAAATTTACCACGTGCATTGCACGTGCAATCATACTAGTATAAGGTATTAAAAGTGCAACTTTTTGAAACTTTAGGGTATACAAGTGCTACTAAAAACAAGTGAGGGTACATAAGTGCAAAGTAGGAGGAACCATAAGGTATTTACTGCTAACCAAAGAAAGGGTCTTATAAAAATTGACAAATTATTCAGATTTAAAGGATAAATAGGCAAATATGGTAGACGCCCGGCGTATATAAGCAGAAACATTCTAACTGTGCCCAACCCATAATTGGGCCCAAACGACAAGCCCTAACTTCAACCCGCTCCACTCCTTCCATATAAAATTCCCTTTATTTTGGCCCAAAATCGAAACGCCGCAGTCTCTCTTCTGTAAAAATCTCCGGCGAACTCGATCGACAGCTCCTGCCGCGGCGATAATGGCGGTTCCGGCGAGAATCAACGGCGAAGAGGAGGAAGAAGACGAAGGGATATTTGAAGAGGGAGAAGAGTGGGTGGATCTCGACAGCGACGTTCCTCCTCATCTCCGAGCCCTCGCCGACGCCGCTCAGCGTGGCGACGTAGCAGCCCTGAGTGCTGCCCTAGGTAATTTCTGTACAGTTCGAGCTATTAACTTAAGGGGCTGTTTGTTTGCCAAAAAAAAGAAAACTAGCCGTCATGTCACCTTTGAGGAAATCCCCCATCCACATCAGCTTTTAGTTTCAACACATTTCCATTTCACATATTTGTTTTATTTTTTGATTTAAGGAAATGGGGATGCCACTTAGGATGCCATGTCACATTTCAAGAAATGTGTTTTCACAACAAAAAACTGTGAAAACACTTGGAAATGTCACATCAATAAGTTTTTAATTAATAAATACACTATTGGAGAGTATCATGATGAATAAATTTCTTTTTTAATGGGTCATTTCTCTTTTTCTTTTTCTTCTTGTCAAACAAACTAAAGAAATGGAAATCAAAAGCACTGTTACTATGAAGGCTTTTTTTATTTTTTGTGTGACTTGACAGTGAAAAGGGGAGGTTTCTTTACGAAACAAACAAAATAAAAGAAAACTGGAAAACCTCTTGATATGTGTTGAAATCATTTCCAAAGAGGGTTTTCCATTTCCCTTTTTTTCGTGGAAATAGCCAAACATGCCCATTTTAGAATAGCATAAATGTAAGGGTATATTGGTAAATTATGCTAAAAGAAGGTTCAAGAATGGAAAGCACCTTTATATTAATATGAGAAAGTAGGTTTCCGTAAAACGTGAAATTTTAGTTGTTGTCAAACGGCTCTGAAAATTTCCCCACGACTCAAAATATGGGACCAAGGTGAAGAGTACCTCCTATCTCATAATGAGATGACCAGCTTATTATGCAATAGTTATGCAATAGGAGACGGACACCTCAGATTTGTTTTCAGGAGGGTGACACGATACAAGGATTATACTATGCATCAATTAAAAAGCAATCAAATATTACAATGTGTTATTAAACTTGATATATGTAAGTTGGTGAAAGGAAAACCTAAACTTTATGAAATTGGAAAATCACATTTCGCAATTCCATCACAAAATTGTAAAACCACATGAAAATCTAAATCCTATTTCAAACTTCTACTATTAAACGCAAAAGTACATGGAAGTTGAAACCTCATGTCCCTGCTATACTTGAAATGTAAAGAAAACTACATGAGAAGAAGATGTTTGGTTAGGGGATATTAAAATTTTGAGAACTAATTTCAAACAAAAGATTTGGGGCTTAGTGTCAAATACGCAAGCTTCAGGACCTAATTTTAAATGAAAGTTTTGAAGGTTTGTTATGACAAAAACCCATAAATCTAGGGGGAGGGGGCATGGTCACCCGTGGACCCCTGGCTCTGTCATTGCATAGGGCGCACTTTAGCATTCTTGACATGTGCTATGCCTACTATCACAGACCCTCCATCAGAATCACCTTCAACGTGGTACCTCTCCAGAAAGGCAGCAAGATGAGCACAGTGAGCTAGCGGAATTGCAAATGAGAAGAAAACACCGTATAAATAATATAAAGAGAAGTAAAAGCACACATAAAACCAAGTTAAAAAAGCAGTGAAAAAAGAGAAGATAGTTACCAACTGAATGGGTGCATCGAGTAAAACTATAGATCATAATAAAACCACGGAAAATGGATTGGAATGAAAGGACCAAGAGAAACAAATTCAACAGAAAGTTAGACATATGCATTGCAAAGTTAGACATATGCATCGCACAAACTATTAATTAGAACTTGGAGGGCATCAGCAAAGAAGTTGTTTTCATCCAAGAGAACTTGATAGTGTACGGGCCTACTAGTACCCTACAAAAGGATTAACCAAGTACAAAAAATATAAGCACGTTGACTATCATGGGCATGGGTACAGACAATTTAAATATGAATGAACACTAGTTTACTACTGTGTGTATCTGACTACTGTTTAATTAAAGCTATAGTAACTTATGTGTTGGAATGTTGGATACTGGATAGTGAAAGAGAAGTCTAAAATTTTGAGGAGAAACTCTGCATGAACATTTTGTCGAATTTCAGGGTGTTCAGTGGTTATGCAGCCTTTTAACCAGTTTGATCTAAAACTATAGATGATGATAAAACCACAGAAAATGAACGGGTGCATCGAGTAAAAACTATAGATTAGAGTAAAAAACTATAGATTATAATAAAACCACGAAAAATGAATAGGAACGAAAGGACCAAGAGAAACAAATTCAACAAGAAGTTTGACACATGCATTGCACAAACTATTAATTAGAACTTGGAGGGCATATGCAAAGAAGTAGTTTTCATCCAAGAGAACATGATAGTGTACGGTCCTACTAGTACCCTACAAAAGGATTAGCCAGTGGAAAAAATATAAGTACATTGACTATCACGGGTACGAGTATGGAAAATTTAAATATGAATGAACACTAGTTTACTACTGTTTGTATTTGACTACTGTTTAATTAAAAATATAGTAATTTATGTGGTGGATACAAGATAGTGAAAGAGAAGTCTTAAATTTTGAGGAGAAACCCTGCATGATCATTTAAGTCTAAACATGAACATTTTGCCAAATTTCTGGGTGTTCAATGGCTATGCAGCCTTTTAACTAGTTTGATCTAAAATATGGTAACAGTGAGCATGAAAGGGTCATAAAAAAAAGAATGTAATTGGGGTAGCCATTCTCCCACAATACTAGATAATTCAATTCCTAAAGGATTAAGTTATTTATCATATTTGGTTACTGAGAAAGTAAAGATAAGCATATTTAACTAGGGGAAGTGCACTGCTAATAACAGTGAGTTAAATATTTTTAAACACCGCACATGCAATTAGTACCTTTTGAGGAGTTAATGAGCGAGCTGCTATTTTTTCATGGGAGGATATTTACACAGAATATACTTCACTAAAGTGTGAGTTAGAGGAAGACAAGAAGATTGAGAGAATAGAGATGGTTGACAAAAAGATGTCAAAGCTGCCATGGAAATGTCAGAGTTAGCTCTTATGATGACGTTCCCTTGGCGGTCCAGAGATTTATGAAGAAAAGTGGTTCTCAGGATTTGGCTTTTATACCGTTTTGAAAAGAAACCCTTGTTATTTATTGATCATCGTAGAGGGTAATACACACTGTATATACAAATATTATAGGATAACTATAGAATGTCTTCACGAAAGAAAACTTTGTTCAGAAAGGAAAACAATAATAAAGGTGTTAGATTAAGTCTATTGGGTATTGGGTTAATGGGCTGTGACCCGTTAACCATACCCCTATTTGTATGACTATATATATATATCTCTAGTAACTGAATGAATCAATTAAGTTAGGGTTTTTGCTCTCTCAATTATCTCTTTCTACATGGTATCAGAGCTTGAAACCCTAGCCGTCACAAATCCTCATTCAAAAACCCTAGCCGCCGCCGCCTCTTCTCCTTGCCGCCGGCACTACCGCCACCACTAGCCGTGCTGCTACAGTACCGCGCTGCTACAGTACCACGCGCTACAGTGCCGCGCCGCTACAGTGCCGCGCCGTTTGTTTTGTCCTTTTTTTTCATGGCCTTGAATAGGTGATTCGAGGCCACACATGACCCGATCCAGTCATCTACTACTGCCTATTTTTTTATCTGCTCTTAGTCTATGTTTAAAGAACAGATCTCTACTATTGCCCTGATTATTTGACTACTACCTGCCTACCACTATTGTGCAACAATGTTGGAAACAGATCTCTCCTCCTCTTCTACATCTCCCTCTGCTGCTGCTGGTCAGACTTCTGCGCCCAAGGTAGTCTTGGGGACTACAATAAAATTGAATGGTACAAACTATCTGCTCTGGGCTCAGGCTTTCCACATCTTCATTGGCGCTCAGAGCAAACTTCCACATCTTCTGGCCTCTCCTCCACCCACCACAGATCCCACCTACAGTTCCTGGCTCTCGTCTGATTATTGTGTTATGACGTGGCTCCTCAACAGCATGGAACCACAGATTAGTAGCAGTGTTATGTTCTTAACCACTGCGAAAGAGATGTGGGACAGCCTGAAGATTATGTACGGAATGAGAAGAATGCTTCCCGTGTATTTGAGATTTATGAGCGATTGTTTACGCTCAAACAGGGAGATAGGTCAGTTCCGGAGTTCTTTGGTGAGTTAAAGGGACTGATAGACGAACTGAAGATGCATCAGCCTGCAGTAGCTGATGCGGCGACGTTGTTGGGATATCGTCATGATTTGGCAGTGTCCAAGTTTCTTTCTGGATTATACCCTAACTTGCAGTCCCAGATGAGAGGACAGATATTGGGTGGAGATACCATCCCATCACTAACTGCTACATTCTCCAGAGTCATGCAGGTCTCTATTGGTATTTCTTCTGATACTTCTGCACCGTCTCCACCTTCAGTGGATCAGTCTGTCATGTTCTCTAGTAGAGGCAGAGGCCGTGGTCGTGGTCGTGGTCGTGATTCTTTGGGAGGACGTGGCTCTTTTAGTGGGAGACATGATGATTCTGATAGGGGTTCACGTCAGTGTGGTCACTGTGGGAGGACCAATCATATTTCTAAGAAGTGCTGGGAGAAGTTTGGTTGTCCTTAATGGGCACAAGTAGCCAATGCCGAGTCGACTCGCTCACCTATTTCTACTACTATTTCTAGTAATCCAGCTACTACTGTTCCTACTGTTCAGATTTCTCAGGCAGATTATGAGAGGTTACGTCAGCTAGAGCTCTCTCAGAACAGTCATTCGGCTACTCATGCATCCTCTTCAGGTATGGATGCTTACATAGCTTCTTTTCATGAACCATGGGTACTAGATTCTGGAGCCTCATCCCATATGACAGGTATAAAGAATCGTTTTGTCTCTTTACATCTTTCTGATAAGTTTTCCTCTATTCGCATCGCTGATGGTACACTTTCTCCAGTTCTTGGTGCTGGAGTAGTTCATGCTACTTCCTCTTTGAAACTCACTGATGTGTTATATGCTCCTAGCTACTTCCTCTTTGAAACTCACTGATGTGTTATATGCTCCTAAATTCCCTGTTAGCTTATTATCCATTAACAAGTTTACAAAATACAATAACTGTAAAGTCACATTCTTTCCTTCTTATTGTGTTTTTCTGTACCTAGCAACTGGGATGACGATTGGTTTGGGGTATGAGAGAGGAAGTATGTACTATTTGGATGACAGTATGCCGGGTGCTGGTCTTGTTGCAGCACAACCTGATTCTACCTTACTGTGGCACTGGCGTCTGGGTCATCCTTCACTACAGAAACTTAGATCGGTAGTTACTGTTCAGTCTTCCCTTTCTTTTTTAGGTTGTGAGTCATGTGAACTGGGTAAGCACCATCGTGCTTCTTTTCAGAGTCGTGTCGATAAACGCAGTAGTTTTACGTTTGAGTTAGTTCATTCTGATGTCTGGGGTCCTTGTCGTGTTCCCTCTGTGAAGGGTTTTCGATATTTCATTGTTTTTGTTGATGATTTCTCTCGCATGACTTGGCTATATTTGTTGAAAGAGAGGTCTGAAGTCTCGCATGTTATTGAACTTTTTTATAATGAAATAAAAACCCAGTTCTCTACTTCTGTTCATATTCTTCGTACTGATAATGCTTTGGAATATATGAAAAATGACGTTTCAAAATTTTGTGCTCTTAATGGTATTATTCATCAAACTTCATGCTCTCACACTTCACAACAAAATGGAGTTGCTGAGAGGAAGCATAGACATATTCTCGATGTTGCTAGAACACTGATGATACATATGAATATTCCAAAGTACTTGTGGTCGGATGCTGTCCTCACTGCCTGTTATTTGATTAATCGCATGCCTTCCTCTGTTCTTGATGGTTTGATACCATTCCACTGTCTTTATCCTGCAAAAAAACGTTTTTCTGTGATTCCTCGAGTTTTTGGTTGTACGTATTTTGTTCAGGATTTGACTGCTGGTTTGGATAAATTGTCTCCTAGGTCCATTAAGTGTGTGTTTGTTGGATACTCACGTACTCAAAAAGGGTATAAGTGCTATCATCCGACCATCAGGAGATATTTTGTTTCTGCTGATGTTACCTTTTTTGAGTCTGTCCCATATTTTTCCTCTGGTTCCACTACCTCTGTCAGTCCACAGGTGCCACTACCTTCTACGGCTCCCACTACTATTCCGGTATCTGCTCCTGAGGCTACTGCACCAAAGCCTCTACTGACATACTCTCGCCGTCCTAAAGTACATACCCCTGTCTCTGCTCCTGCTGACTCTTCTTCTCCAGCTGCAGGTCCATCTCATGTCGAGCCTCATATCTCTTCTGACTTAGATGTTCCTATTGCTCTTCGTAAAGGTAAACGGTCTTGCCCAAAATATCCTATCTCTCTTTTTGTCTCTTATGACCGTCTTACCTCATCATTTCGTCAGTTTGCTTTGTCATTGTCCACTATATCTTTACCCAGGTCACATGAGGAAGTTTTGTTAGTACCTGTCTGGAAACAGGCTATGGATGAGGAGATGAATGCACTGTTTTCTAGAGGGACTTGGGATTTGGTCTCTCTACCTGTTGGAGCGACTGTGGTTGGCTGCAGATGGGTGTATACCTTGAAATATCGTCCTGATGGGTCTGTTGATAGATATAAAGCTCGCCTGGTTGCTAAAGGATATACCCAGACATATGGTATTGACTATTTTGAAACCTTTTCTCCCGTTGCTCGTCTCAACTCCATCAGAATTCTTCTCACTGGCTGTTAATATGGATTGGGCGATGCACCAACTAGATGTGAAGAATGCTTTCCTTTATGGTGATTTGGACGAGGAGGTTTATATGGAGCAACCTCTTGGGTATGTTGCTCAGGGGAAAAATCTTATCTGCAGGCTGAGAAAGGCCATCTATGGGTTAAAGCAGAGTCCTCGAGCTTGGTTTGATAAGTTCAGCAAGGTTATTTCTAATGTTGGTTTTCAACGTTGTCAGTCTGATCACTCTGTCTTTCTTCGACGCACAACAACTAGTTTGGTTATTTTAGCCGTATATGTTGATGATATTCTGCTGACTGGGAGTGACTCCGTTGCCTTAGCTGAGACTAAGGAGTATCTAAACCGTCATTTTGTCACTAAGGACATGGGAAAGCCAAAGTATTTTCTTGGGATTGAAGTTGCATATAAAAAACATGGCCTGTTATCCCAAAGAAAGTATGTGCTAGATTTATTAAAAGAAGCAGGTCTCTTGGAATGCAAACCTGCAAGCACTCCAATGGAAGCAAATGTTGATTTGTGGTGTGATGATACCTCTCTACTAGATGATGCTGCACGATATAGGAGACTAATTGGGAAGCTAATATATTTGACAGTTACCAGACCTGATATTACTTTTACAGTAGGTGTACTGAGCAGGTTTATGCACAAACCTAGAGAGGTTCATTGGACAGCAGCTCTGAAGATTTTGGCATATGTCAAAAGTTGTCCTGGCAAGGGATTGTTATATAATAAGCATGTGCATACTCACATTTTGGCTTTCTCTGATGCTGGCTATGCAGGAGACATGGGAGACCGAAAGTCAACCTCAGGATTTTGTACTTTTGTTGGAGGTAATCTTGTGATTTGGAGAAGTAAGAAACAAGATGTAGTATCACGATCTAGTGCAGAGGCCGAATATAGAGCAATGGCTCACACTGCTTGTGAGATGGTGTGGCTAAGGAAGTTTATGACAGAGCTTGGTTTTGTTCAGTCTGAACCCATGCTAATGCATTGTGACAACCAGTCTGCCATTTATATTGCACAGAATCCTGTGTTTCATGAGAGGACAAAACATATTGAAGTTGACTTCAATTTTGTCAGAGATGCTTGAGAGAAGAAGATAGTATCTCTCACATTCACTCCGTCCTCACAACAACTTGCTGATATTCTTACCAAGGCTACTTCTTCAAAGGTGTTTTCTACTATATGTGACAAGCTGAGCATGGTGGATATTTATGCTCCAGCTTAAGGGGGAGTGTTAGATTAAGTCTATTGGGTATTGGGTTAATGGCCTGTGACCCGTTAACCATACCCCTATTTGTATGACTATATATATCTCTCTCTAGTAACTGAATGAATCAATTAAGTTAGGGTTTTTGCTCTCTCAATTATCTCTTTCTACAAAAGGGAATTCCTATGAAAGGAAAATACTACATTCAACAATTAATATGGCGTTCTATTTGCAAGCAAACAGTTGAGTGTTATTGATGGTTAATGGCATATATAAATTAAGGACTGAACTTGTTTTTTTAGGAGGAATTTTCAAAAGAGACTCATTTGTGATCTTAATCCTAAAAAACGACCCCATTCAAACAAAATTACAAAAACCAACCTGGTTTCAGCCTCAGCGCTGAGACCAGGTCGGTTTTTGAAATTTTTTTTCCGAAACTTAACGGGAGTTGAACTCTTTTTGTAATTTTGTTTGAATGAGGTCGTTTTTTGGGAATAAAAGTCGAAATGGGTCTCTTTTGAAAATTTGTCCTGTTTTTTTATTTCTGAGAAGCGCAATGAGTTGGACCACAAAGATGTATTTGATCGCGAGTTTTATAATTAAGATAACATCTTGTTAGCTTCTGATCAAACATCTGGTGCCTACTAAATACTGCTTGTTTGCAGACAATTGGTCTATTTTGAGTTAATTAGATCCTGGTGACATTTCTATATAGATTTGCTACCTCTTCCTGTCATTTTTAAAAATATTACTTCATAGTAGGATCCCAAGTGCTCACCAGTTAATTCATTTATAGATAGTCACACTGGCAGCATCAATGATCCAGTCGAAGATGGTGATACTGTTCTGCATCTTTGCTGTCTATACGGCTACCTTCCTTGTGTCCAGGTAGAGATCCTATGCCTAGTTGCTTTGCTTTTCACTTTCCATCTTACCAACATGCTTAATTTGTTTTATTTTTCCTCAGCTTTTGCTGGAAAGAGGAGCTAGCTTAGAATCCAAGGATGAGGAAGGTGCAATACCACTTCATGATGCTTGTGCGGGAGGTAGGTCCCACGTTTTTATGTTTCATTTCTACTTGCTTACATTAGTTCCAGTATCAATCAACAAGAATAAAAAAGTACAGTGACATGGAAAATATTGCTTTTTTATGTGTTCTTATTCTGGCACGCACAGGTTTTCTTGAAATTGTGCAATTTATAATTAATTCGGCTGGGAATCATGATTTCGTAAAGCGAATGCTAGACACAACTGACACTGAGGGCGATACGGTGAGTCTATGTAAACCACATATTATCAGATATACGTTTGATTATTATGTTTAAGTCGAGATGATTAAAATATTCTTTACCTTTCATGCATCCAGCCTCTTCATCATGCAGCAAGAGGTGAGCATTTGGATGTTGTAAATTTGCTTCTTTCAGCTGGGGCCTCACCCAAGACAACAAATACTTATGGAAAGGTTTGTGATGACCTTATGTCAGTTATGCTGATCAATCTTTTCTTATTCATTGTTAAATGTCAACTGTGTGTTTCTGACTAGTTTATTGTGACTTTAACAGAGTCCTGCTGAGCTTGCTGAACCAGGTCCTGTTCGAAGAACATTAGAAGCAGCAGCTGGAAATAATTTATGATCGACATGACAAGGAGCAGTTTCTGGCGTGGAATGACAATTTTGCAGGGTATTCATGCTTATCGAACTGTTTGGCAACCCAGTGCTCGCTATGCTTGAGTTAAACAGCTGCATACAATGGTAAATTGTCATTTGACAATCAGAGTATAGACATTTTGTTACATTAGTAGATTTTGTGCATATAAGTAATTGAAGCTCATGACTGTATTGATTCTGGTATGAATATTTGTTTAGTGCTTCAATTTATTCTCTTCAGACTGTGCCTGCTCAAATTACTTCTTGTTTCCTTTCTTATCAGGTGCTAGAAATATGTTACAATTACAAAGTGATGAGTGATGCCAAAACAGATTATCTTCAAAACTGAAGACTTTGGATATAAACTTATTTAATCTAATAAATTTAAGAAAGTCAAGCATTAATTGATGAGTCAATAGGTGATTGTTTCATACAAGATGATCCTTTGAAGAAAATCACTATCTGTTGTTTCATCTGGGTTAAAATTCCTTGGGAATGATAGAGGATAGGGTCTTGAAAGGGTTCTGGTTGGTTACTGACTGCATAGAATTGAAAAGGGGAAAAAGTGAATGTTTTATACAATTTGCCCAAGCAGGAGGAATTTGAAGTCTAATATGTGACATCCTTTTACGTTGTCAGCCTTATAATTTGAGCAGGCCTTTCTTGATGAATTGCCTTGCTCGTATCTATTAAACTGATGCTTAAACTGACATCCTCCAATTTGTTGCGGGTTCATGATTAGTTATCTAATCTTATTTCTGAGTCCAGATCCATGAACTATTGCGTCTGCTCCAGTCATTAATTGTTATTAATTTCTGAAAACTAATATCCGTTCTTCAAACATTGGATATGGATCCATGCTTTGCTTTACGGTACATGTTCTAGTCTGCCTCTGCCTGGTCTGATCCATCAAATTAGTCAATGTAAATCTACCAAGTAGTGTTAAGAGGTCTTTGACTTAAAATTTTGTTATTACAGTATAGATTGATTCAATTCAAGGACGAACATGTCAGTCCCTTTTCTTGTTTTTCGAGATTATAGCTTGAGAACTTTGAAGCGTATGTGTTCTATAGTCATCAAGTATATGCCATTCCATATGTTTGAGATAATCAAATTCTTGTTTCAGTTATGAGTTTGTGTAGATAAGAGATATATTATCCTCCATTAGACTCCCAGTTCTTATTTCACTCAGGGTCTTTCGTCTCCTTTCCTGAAGTTGATAGCGAAGGGAGTAGTCTTCTAAGTCCTTCACTTGGTTTCACTGGTGCCCACGAGAATATAATGCCAAATTGATGTTTTTGTCTACACCAACTTAATCTCTTCCAATTAGGTTCTTGGGCTTGTGGTGTGCCCCATAAGTTCATGTGATCTTTCTTTTAATCTTTTCAGCATAGAGATACATTGGATTTAATCAGGACCATATTATCACTCTTGGTAGCAGGGTAAGCATTGGATAGTTCACACTTCACATTGAAAAATGCCGACACAACCAAGAGGAGCTTGGAAAAGGGAGGAAATTATATATATAAACACATCAAGATGACTCTCAACTCTCAACATAGCTCTCAGACGTAATAGTTTAATCTTATGAGCTTTGGCTTGCATCGACATGGGATACTGGTCACTGAATATCATTTGGACTTTTGGGCATGAAAAAGGTGGAGGGGGGGGTGGGGGGGGGGGAATCTTTGTTTTCCCTACTTGCCATTTTGGCCATGCTAAACTATAACCCCAACCCTCTTTTGCTTGCAAGCTGACATCACCTTGATATGATCCTTTCCTCAAAGCTTTTTTGTCAATGCCTCTCCCTTGGATCAGTTGTGTTGCTGACTTCATTTGGTGGATAAATTCATGGCTGACCTCATTTTGATAGATAAAAAATTTTGGACCATGGTACGACTTGTGGGCTTGCTCAAAATAGAGAAAGCAAAAAAAGGTATTGATAACTGCTGACTAAAGGCACAATCTTTTGGGTCTTGCGAGTGGGTATATGACCGTCTGGAACTTAATTTAGTCTTTGATAGATCTAGACAGTTGATGATATTTCTTGTACATAAGGCTACAATCAGTTTACCTAACATTAATCCCGAAACTTCCACCCCTTGTGTTCATGTTGCCTTTTATAAAGGCTTCTGGCTAGTTATGACAGACTGGGCATTCTACTCTGTCATCCTAATTAAATCATCCGACTTAGTATCTGGCTTATGATTCAGTTTATGACTAATAGCATAGTATCTGGCTTGTGATTCCTGACCAAATAGAAGTAAAACTATTCGATTTGTATCGGTTATTGATTGTTATGTATCTCTGAAATTATTATATTTTAGGTCTGTCTAGGGTCTTCTGGTAAGTTAGTTGATCTAAATCTCTCAATAGTGGTTAGAAAGACTTTTGATCTGAAATCCTAGTGTTTTGGTATGGCTTGATTGTTGTGGAGGACCACTATGTACTTCATTAGTCACAATTTTTAGATTGTTATAGCTTCCAAACAAGTAGTATCTACGTGTCCTTTTGCGATACTTGAAATTAGGAAACCACGTACCTTTATTTCACACACACCCTGTTTTCCCCTTGTTTTATCAGATTCTAGGGTGTAGAACATTTTTCTACAATACATGTGCATGTATTATTAACTGTATACTGTTTTGTTATCTTAAATACCAATCTTATTTCTAAAATCTGGCTTACATCTAAAAGCTATTAGATTCTTGGAGGAATATTAAAGTTATACATGAAACTAAAACTACACAAAAAAGAGAAAGGTAGTGATTATGGTGTTGATGATGGTGAGTGATGAGCTCAACGGGACTTTTAACTCGTGAGCGATGATGATGGATGAAGATAGGATGGAGCTAAGAACACTCTCCACACACTTGAGTGTTAAAAACTTATGTGAGGCCAGTGAGGTGGAAGTAGGATAAGCAGTTGTTAAAGTGTAGAGTATAAAGATCTTTGATTTTTGGTTGGGAGTTGGTATATAGTCATTATCTCCTTAGGAGTTTTCAATAGTGCCACTTGATTTCCTTTTAGCATCACCCTTTAACTCCCAAGTGGTAGCAACTCCTCAACAGCAACATCAGCAAAGTGCACAAGAACCTCACACTACTGAAAGCCACTCCACAGTTTTTCATTTTGCTTATTTTATCAGCCTTTTTCGCTACTTCTCTAGTTATTTATTGTACTTGGATCTTTCCTTGAAGCAAGAAAAGCTTTCTATTTTACTTGTACATTGCAAAGATCAGTATTTAGATCAGTATTTATTTCTATCACGCATCTGCGAAGTTAAGTTGTTTGAATCGGTAAAAGGGGTAACTTATGAGTAACACGCTTGGAATGCCTTGGGGGTTGACCTTGGCTTAGATTCATGTTTTTTTTTTTTTCAATTCTTGGCTTCGCTTCTAGGTGTTCGTCGGCTTGTACAAGCACGTTACTTCTCTCTGTATACCCGTGTCAACACTGTACATATCTAGGATTTGGAATTTGTTTAGTAATGGAATTATGGATCCGTATTCTAAGGACAGACTTCGGCAGATTTTCTTTTTTCTTTTTCCGAACAAATGTTCGACAAGCTATCCTCGTCCGCGTGGCGAGTTGTAAATGAACAATGAGGCTCCTCCTCCCACTCCACGCCATAGAAAAGGAACCAAAAGAAGCAACAAGATGAAGCGAGCTCCAAGAGCTCTCCGAGTTAAAGAGTTTAGTTGGAATTGGTTAGGGATTTTCTCGGTATCTCTAAAGGGAATTAAAGTATCTCCTCCTTGTTGTTGTTTGAGCTGTTGGTTTGGGTGGATGTGCTGTCTTTGCTTGTTGCTGCGGACCAATCAACGAATATGAATGTCTCTAAATGGTCCAGGTGTGTTTGTTTGTGGAGAAGTACTTTAAAAAAAAATACTTTAATTGAATACTGATTTGAGTGCCCACACAGACTTTGAACACTCAATTTGAGTGCACGTTGTTCATATGAACATCAGAGCATGAATATGCTTCGACGACCAAAACTCTCGCGCATCCGCCAATGGAACAGGGATACAAATCCAGGCGCTTCAAATTTGCATGTGGAGTCAATGCGATTTTTACATCTGGCCCCTAATAACATTTGGAAATTGCAACCCAAGGCCCAAGCAATCTAGAAACACACCAAAGAAGTTGGTAACGATTTCAATTAGCCCATTGGAAAGTAAAAAAAACTCAATTTTAATTTTCAATTTTAGTTTTCGGTAATAAGTGTAATAAGAACATTCTCGTCGAATACTTACTATAATTGTATAATATTATACTTTTACCTCAAAGGAAATTTTCCTGGATCCGCCACTGCATATAATAACAGTAGCTGTCTTAAGGCTAAAATTGTTTTAATAATCTCATCAATAGATTACCAGGATATCCATATACAAATATTTATATCTAGGTCCGGATATTTGTATCATTAGTGCAGCTTAAAACAATACTCTTATGAGCATTCATTTCTCCTTAGATATGGATTTTTAACGTTCGTATTCATCTCTCTTGTATACGGATACAAATACAATACACACACATATATAATCATTTTGGGATTGTTTGAGAAGGGTATTTGAAAGATTTTTTTAGGATACTGTACTTATACTCGAAAAATAATCTCTAGAAGGTCTGTGTACCTATTGTTTGGGTTTTGGAGAGTAGCGAGTGAGTGGATAGCAAGTATCCCGTGCTTTTTGCTTTGCTTTGCTCTGCTCTATTTTTTAAGGGTTTTTATGTGACGTGAGAGGTGGGCCAAATATTCTAATAGGGATTGCCGCCCTCAATGCCACTCTCTTCACTCTTCTGCCTCCCTACTCCAACTACTTACAAGTAAGAGAGGTTACACTGTCATGTGGGAGCATTCTAAGCTAAGATAGAGCCCCACATATATCTATTCCAATAGTCAATGTTGCATTGACATTTGACAATTTCCACCTTATTTTATTTTTCGAATTATTTTCTTAACCAAATTATCCTTCAGCCTTATTAACAAAAAAAAAAAACATGATTTTTTCTTGAATTCATGAGAAGTTTAGAAATTCTATTTTCTTAAGTCAAATAAACATTTAATCTTTTTTTTACTGAAGAATGTCGTTGTTATAATCATTCTAATGCTGAAAAGTAATCTCCAACCAAGGGCAAACAAGTGTCTCACATTATGCGTAATCGAATTAGCACTTCAAGATAATCAAAAGCCCAATTCGGTCGGCTCGACACGCTGACATCTTGCGAGGACGACTCGA